ATTCGTTCTCATTTGTTATGCATGTATTGTGCCGATTTATAAAATAAAAATGAAATAAAAATTAATGAATAATGGTTCGCGTAAGTTAAGACTCGAAAGCTTAGTTGAAGCCGAAGCGAATAATTTCGCTTGAATAGAAGAAAGAGCTATGAGATGAGTACCGGCGATTCATGCCCCTATGAGCCATTTAGAACATAAAATACATTGGATTCCGTCTTGGAAACCTATTTACAGCGTAAGCGAATTTCTATAAGACCGGCAATCTGTACCTTCCATCACTGCGCTTCTTTGGAAAGAACATCTTCTTGTCCGTTATTGCAACGGCAAACGATTCCATAAAGTGGGGGTATTCCTTCAAAAATTTCTAGCTTCGAGCGAGCTAATCTGCAGCTCCCTTCGTCGAGCTTTCACAAACTTCTTTCTTAGGTACAAGGAATGTTCGTTAAATACTCATAAGAGCGTTATCAAAAGAGAGTAGCCTGCGCATTATATATAATAATAGAAATGTAGCCGCGTGTTGTTCTACAATTGACGACCCGAAATAAAATTTTCAGCTTGACTTGCAAGCCACCAAGTCGACTTTGATGCTAATCGTGGGGCAACGTATATGGAAACTCATATAAGAAATTTTCAAAGAGGATCGAGTTTTTGTAAAAAGCCATTGAAAATAAATTTTTTTGATTGCTCGTCTACGCGCATTGTCTTGATCGCTTTTTCATTGCTGTTATCTCTGTTATATATGCCGTAATCAGAGAAGGAGTCTACCTCTAGAGAAAAAAACATTGGAATCTTCAATACTAGCAACTGCAACATTTACTTAAAAGAATTTTGTAAATTGAATATTGTGACCGTTTCGGCTTAAATCCGGTTATACTGTTTGTCACTGATTATTTTAACAAATTTGAGAGGCTCTTAGTATTTCACAAACATTTCTAATCCTAACAAATATAGAACTTCTACTGAATATACGATTTTTTGAGAAACTATGGTGGAGCTTAAATCAAAATGTATTAATGTTTATGCTTATCGCTAGCAATACTTTTTTCAGCCCCAGTCACAATGATTTTTTTTTTTGGGTGTCGTCTAGGGAGGAGACACACAATCTGGTGTGTCTCGAAAGCTTATGTCTAGTTATTTCTGTCGAGCATTCATCGTAATAAGTAAATGTTTCTGCTGGGTATGTCGAAAAGATCGATATGATTCGATATGTTTTAATGTTTTTAAAATTCTTTGCTCTCAAACTTTGTCGCTTGTCCTGGGTGATTTTGGACGAAAACACAATTTTTGAATTGCATCGAAGAAACAAAAGTACTGGCAATTCCTCGAAAAGGTTCTTCAATGACTTTAAATGACAGATTTCAAAGAAAGAAACCACACCAACCTATATACATCAACGCTTATGGCCCATATTTTGCTATGGATGTACAAAATTTGCGAAATCATAATTTCGCTCTAAAATAAAATGTGAAGCAAAAGCTCTTCCTACGCTTGCTCACTTCAAACACCTTTAAAGTATTATAGGATCTCCTTTTACCGTACTTACTCAATTCGATGCATTAATGTATCCAATGGGTTCTCATCTTGTTGCATGTGAAACCAGAATTTAAAAGGATTGTGAATCTAAATTTACAGTAAAGGGATGTAAGATCTGTTTTTTTAAAAGTTTTTTGTCCGAAATACCTCTGTTACGTATATTTTTAAACGTGAACCCACACAAAAATCTTTAGATAATTCAGTAGTAGGTATCTTATCGCCATACGCTATTAAACCATTGGGAAAATCCAAACAGAAGAGAAAGCCATTCTAAGCCAAACGAAAGAGTAGAATAAGAATAGTTAAGTAATATGTTATCTGATGAAACTTACAGTAGCGCATTTAGGCACGGCTTCATCTAAATCATTGAGGAAATTGGAGCGATCAGGAGAGGTACTTCCACTCATTTTCGTAATTATTGTAGTTGATTGTTCAGCATTTGGAGAATTTCCCATTACACTCTCCATATCAATTAGGTCTTCATATAAAGATGTTGTCTTTGATTTGTTTGAGTTATTTTGAAGCTCATTACTTTGCGGACAAATATGTTTGGATTTAAGAGGCGACATCCTTGTTTGTTGCTTCACTTGCGTAATTGTTGATGAAGAAAAAGCTTTTTTCGATTTCGTCACCGTTTCACCATCTGCAACCGTTGGTAAAAGAAAGTTTGACCTTGAGATTTGATTTATTCCATTAACGTTTGCATAAATTGCGTTAGAATTCTCATTTTCTTGTTTTTTAACGTCGATAGACGTTGCTAAAAGGAAAGAGGGTCTTATGAATTTATTTTCGCAGTTGCTGCTTGCGCAATTCTTATCTTCTTGCTTTCTAACTTGCGTGGGCGTGGGGAAAGAAAATGTTGGCCTTGAGATTTGATTTAATCTGTTAATGCCTGCAAAAGTTACGGGAATATTCTCTCCTTCCTGCTTTCTAACATATGTAGGAGGCGTTGGCAAAAGAAAAGCAGGTCTTAGGAATTTATTTTTCCCGTTAGTACTTGGGTAATTTATGCTAGAACCTTTATTTTCTTGCTTCCTAACTTGGGTGGGCGTTGGAAAAAGAAAAGGCGGCTTTGAGGATTCATTTGTTCCGTTAACGCTTTTATAAGTCGCAGTGGAATTTTCATTTTCCTGCGTTCCAAGTCGTGTGGGCGTTGGTAAAAGAAAATCCGGCTTTTTGTATTTATTTGTACTGTGAATATTTGTGTAAGTAGTGGTAGCATTCTCCTCTATATTACATTTGCTTTCCAAAAGATTTTCTAGATTTTCAGTTTCATTTGCTGCAGAAACTTTTCGACTTTTTCCTACGTTGTGGTCGCCCGGTTTTTTCGAACTTCTTGGACGAGCAAATGTTGAGGGATTCATTTGATTTGTGAAATTCCATACTTGCGCAGGTGTACTGTTCTGCGTATGCAATTGATTATTGTAAAATTGCGCCCACGCGTTGAGAGGTAAGGGTTCCATACCCCATTGCGAGAAACGTTGTGTCGCTGTTCGTGACAATTGAAAATTTCTTGCAAGTATTTGAAGCGGCGTCAGTTCTGGGTCATTCAATCTATTTTTATTACTAAAGCAGGAACTTTGCTTCCTTCGGTCGGTGGGTATGCGAAATGATCGTTCATTACGCCAATTGATTGACTTTGAGTGAGAACGCACTTGTGCACGACCCGACCTTCTACCACTTTTCCGTGGCCTCTTTTGTTCCTGTATCATCTCCTCTATGTGTTTTGTATTCTCACTCGTAACAGCATTAACCACCGCTTGAGAACCTTTACCAGTGATCTGAAAAGTATATGAAACTTTTAAATGCATGTTTAAGTTCAATAAGTTTTCACCCAATAGCGGCAACTATAAACCAAGACCTCCTACCTTTATAGCATCCGGTAAAGAATGGAGAAAATCTTCAAGCGTGTCAAAGCCCACACGACGAAATGGTATGTCTTCTCCTTCTGTTTCTTTGTAATCACGATTCAGTTGTTGAACAGTAATGCTTTCCGGACAGGAAAGTACAAGAGATTTTATTATCACTTTCATTTCGTTTAAAACTCCGGCATTCATTTTTCGCTACTGAATATTATTATTATATCACGTTCGTTTCGCAGATACGATATTAAAGAGTCCTTTGTTTTTTTGGAGATTGGACGAATAGGAACTAAGCCGTTTATAAATACCGATCAAAATGTTTTTTTTTTTAAAAAGAAAAAGTTTCGGCGGAATTTCGATCTTCCGTTTTACAATTTTGTTCGAGCAGAGTAACCGTGGTATAGAAAAAATGCGCTACGACGACGAAGAAATAAAGAGATAATCACTTATATGAACGATATAAGCTTAGTCTATGTGAAAGTTAACTTTCGTTGACGACCAAACCGGTACTTGACAACCATTTTTGCTAGGATCGCGTAAGACTTTTGGGTCATTTTCGTTGCTAGTCATCGTATGAAAATGAAAAAGTAGAAAAAAAAAAAAAAATTTTATTTATTTTTAATTGTGGCTACCAAAGTCCGAAAACTAACTGCTAGTTCGCCTCTCTGATAAATAAACCAACATACCAACTATTAATAGGCGAATACTTTTTAAACAAATTAGAAAAAGCAGTTAAAATAAACTCTCAAAAATTTTAAATTTTATTTCTTAAAATAATAGATCTACGCCTTTTCATCTTTGCCTACGATCTATCTCATCACACATACACATCATTGCATACGAATACTAATTAGAGTAACAAATTTAAGTGAGACCGTCCCGAAGCGGCCCAAAACTATAACCAGACCTGTGCTTAGACCCGTAAGAACCTGAACAAACTGCCGGATTAAATAGGCTCTAAGTACAATTCAATGGGTTTCTCCAACAAAAATTTGGTGGTTAATTAAAATTTCCATTTCAATATAACATTTTCAGGTGTTTTATGCTTTTTTTATTTATTTATTTTATTTTATTTATTCCACTTATACTAGAAACTCAACTAAACAAAGAACAGTCGAGTTCAATTGGCTCTTAATGCAAAACTTATATTAATTAACAATAAAACAAATAAGAAGAAAAAAAAAAGAAACAGAAAGAAAAGCATGTAGACTATCAGCATAGGAGCACACTTACAACCGGTACAGGACCAAATTGCAAATGGACCCCTAAGCCATCGCAAATATGCATAAGCCTGGCAACCGATAATAAATTGACAATAATTCATTTTCGAAACGTAACGACTTTTTAAGGATAAAAGCTAGTTTAAATACGACATAGGTAAATCGCGCGTATTAAGCAATGTTGCTTTAATGGACTTTAAAGAGTCCGATAGCGAGAATAAGTGGTAGACGTCCTTTAGGTTCTTGCAAACGACTCTGAACGGATTGAACAGCTCATAATTAAATTTACACTGATTAAGCTTAACCAAGATAAATATATATTTATACTTTTTATTTTAGATTTGGGGAGATCATAGCTATCAAACAAGAAAGTAGATGAGCTCTAAAAAAATGTAATTGAAGCAAACTGACGAAGGGCCGAAGAAGAAGAATTGACTGTCAAGTAGGAATAAATTCCAAAGTTAGCCAATTTAGAGGTAGAAGTCCAGGGAGTTAAAAAGCCACTGACTTTTGGCCCTCCGATCAAATCGATAGTGATGAATTGCCAGCCACCATTGGAGTGGCGCGGTGAGGAAAATTTTAATGTGAGATTTTCTATTTGTTTCTAAATACTTTTTATGCGAAGTTTATGCGAAGACTGGATGTAATAGACGTACCGTCTGAGGAAGATACGCCAAGCACGGCTAAAAAGCGCAAGCAACCTCGCGTATGTCGAGTATTATTTAAAGAGCTTCAAATATGCTTCCTGTTCATTAGCTGGCAAATGAAGGCCAAAAAACGTATATACTTATGTATTGAATATAAACATACATCTATTTAAATTATGAAATACATTCATTAGTCAAATAGAAATAATAAAGATTTTGTTTATATTATTTAAATTATTTAAGATGAAAAGGTATGTATATTGTCTGACATTCAGATACATATCACATAATATAAAGAAAATGTGCGTTAGCGTAAGATAAATATAAATTAGATAAATAATTTCTAAATGTAAAATAAATTTGGTTTATTTCTTTGTTTGTTTGTTTGAATTTGATATGGATTGGACCTTTTAACGTAAATTTAGATCCATAATCCAGAAACTTTATAGAAATCCATTGATGATATTCAAAATTTCACGTGATGATGAAATATTGATGCTTTTTTACTAAGATTTTTTTAATTTTTTGCTTTCTAGGTTATGTTTGATTCTTTTCTTTGTTTCTTTATTTCAATTGAGTAACACGCTGAAGTTGGTTGTGTACACCCCAACGACAGCATGAAGACTGATGGTTTATTTCTTCTTCCACATTGTTTTCTGTTTGTTTTATTTGTATGTAGATAGGCAAAACCATATGACTTGTCTAATTGCCACAAAATTTGGAAAAACTGTGCGAAGTTGAAGTCCCCCCTTGAAGTTGAGAATTATATAATTATAATTATATAAGAAGAGAGAGAGAGATTGGTAAAATTGATAAATTTTCATAAGAATATAAACTTACAAATTCTGATAATTTTTTAAATATCAATTGAACAGTCGCAAAATATTCCCTCCAAAAGAATGCAAAGCATGTGAAAATGAGTATACAAATTTGAAAGGATTTAAAACAAGCCGAAAAAGATTAAGATAAGCATCACGTGGTGTAAAAGGAGAGATCTTTGCAGCTTTTGTTCGTCTTATTTGGTTTGTTTTATTTGTTAAGTAGTTCAAGTTTTCAGACTTCGAAGTTTAAATGGAAAGTGCTCTTGCGTCAATCTAAACAGAGACTTTTTTGTTCTAATACTACATATCATCCTCAACAAATGCAGCTTGCATTTGTATAGAAACGTCAATTTTGGTGAATAATTTTTT